GTTAAACTTCATAAGGTTCTTGTTAGCCCACTCTTCCAGCCTATCCAGATCTTCCTGCAGGGTGGCTCTCCCTTCCAGAGTGTCTACTTCCCCACTCAGTTTGGCGTCACCTGCAAACTTCATCAGGCTACACTTGATCCCATTATCCAGATCACTTAAGAAATTGAATAGCATTGGGCCCAATATCGATCCCTGGGGGATGCCACTTGTGATGGATTGCCAGTTTGAAAAAGAGCTAAGACAAAGGACAGAAAAGTAAGGGCATAAAGAAGCTCCTGTAGTTTTTCCCTTTATGGGGCTTTCATGTGAACTCAAATACCAGGGATATGTGCATGCACTGGCGTAATATCAAGCATTTAGAGAGAGGGAACTGGCATACGCCTGCATCTAACCTCAGCTCAACCTCAGAGTCTTCTGAAGCCTGATGTCTCAGCTGCTACAGCTAGGGTTTCCACACTCTAGTCAGAAAACTAGCCTGAAAACTATGACTACATCTCTGTCTGTCGTCTGCAGATAACGTGCACTGAGATCTTTCAGAAAAAATAGACCTCTGCTGAAGCATATTGGTCATCAAGTTTGCAAGGGCTGCCAGCTTCCACATAACAACAGCAACTCCCTCCCAGTACTCTGTGACACAACCTTCTTTCCCTCTTTGTCAAGTGCAAGGGATGGGCTCACCATAAATCCACAAACGTGCATCTTCCCACATTTACTGAATGCTCCCTTTTGTCAGCACTTTTCTGAAAGACCCATTTCCTGCAGAGAGTGAAACTAAGTACCACTGCAGTTTCATGGTTATCTAAAAACCTCTAGTCACGCAGTTTATGCCCCTATACCTTCATATTTACATAGAAGTAGTCAACCAAAACCAACTCTGAATCAAGGAGGTGATGTACTATTAAAGTGATGGCCTGTGACTAGTATAGTGCTGAAGTAGAAACATAGCATGGATTATTTTTTTTCCCCCAGACCCTTTCTTCAAGGCATTTGATAGTTTCAGATTCAAAAAGCTAGCACCTAGAAAAGACCATTACCAATATCTGTATAATACAACCAGCACAGCACTTAATGGGCAAGATAATGATGAAAGGCTCTCGTACCAAAAAATTAAATAAAATTAAAATAGATAAAATTGTGATACAGGGTATTCAGCTTCTAGGCACAGTCAGTGTTGGCGTCTGGGAAGTCGTTAGCTGTATACCATTAAGTGATGATTCTCAAACTGAAGGTGAAAGAATGTAAGAACCTACATCAGCTTTTATAAGTCAAATAGCAATTACTTTTTAATACTGTGATTTACACAGTTGTCTCTAATATTTATAATGCATCCAGTCTCCATTCTCCCTATGCACACTTAAGTGAAAGGTACGTTATCCATGTGAAACTCTAAAATAAACTCAGCACAAATATCTACAAAGGCTTAAGGTTTACCTCCAAATCACAGATGCTGTACTGTTTCCATGAACTTAAAAATAAGCTCTGTTTTCAAATACTGTGACAGACTGACAAAAATATGGCTTTTAAATTTTTATTTTTCACTTTTAAAAGCCCTATATCAAAAAGGAAACGTAGAGTTAGACACATACAAAAACTCCATAGGACCACAACAAACATACATACTGTTGATAAGATGATAGCCATGTACTCCTGCCCTTGAAACTCTTCTACTGTGCCAACTTTAATGTCTGCCAGATCAATACTTCTCAGAAGAAATCTAATTTTTTCCACCTACCGAAAAAAAACCAAAACCAAACGTGTTTGAAGGAATTTATTTTTACATTTGAGAGTGGTTTACTTCAAAACTGAAAACATACATGTACAAGTATGCAATTTAACACAGAGATGTCACAGGGAATGCCTACACCAAGCTTAGCCATCAGCCACTAGTAAGGTTTTAAACTAAACCAGTAACTTTTCCTGAGAAGTATCATGCTTATTACACAACTTAGAAGGTGAAGTACTCACTACCATCATTTAAACAGAAATCAACAGATTTTTAATAATCTAGATTTTAACGAGAAGAACAACTTAGATCCATAAACCCTCTTCTAATGTGCACAACATCCAAAACCATGCTTATCACAGATGTGGTAGGGCAAGCAGCTTCCCCCAGCTCCTCAAGCAGACTGCAGAGATTCCACCTTTGCTTGCCAGCTGCATCATGCAGACTGAAAGACAGAGGTGAGATGTGACCTTAAGTATCTTCCCAAAAAGAGAAAGAGAACAAGGAGTCTCACGCACTGGAATGCTGGTATGTGTGGGATCAGTATATTACCATCTGTTAAAAGCTGCTTGGAGACTATACCTTAAGTGCTCCAAGAAATTTACCACGAAATCATGCTTGGCTAAGGTGAGGATTACAGTCAATGACTACTTTCTAACCAGCGTTCCTGCAATACAAGGTGACTTTCTTGAAGTGGACATTACTATTACATGTCTTGCATCATAGGCAGATGAAGGACATAATCATATTAAACGATGTGAAATGTTTTAGAGAGTATAAGAGGTTCAGTCACATCAATACTATATATACATATTTGAAAAATAAATAGCAACTGTAAACATGGGCAGATGCATACACCTGACCAGTAAGATCAGTACAGGCAGAACTCTAATTTGCAAAAGTGAGATTTCTTCAAAAAGGGGTTGGCCTTTTCCACACACCTCAGCGTCTCCCCCCAGCCCACGCATGCAAGGCCATGAATACTGAGATGCGAACACCAAGGAAAACACTGTCCAGAGCATCCTCTGGAAATGAAAGGACATTTAATCTTCATTTTAAAATGAAAGCAGGCACCATGTACTTAACAGACTTGAATATAAATAGTTTTAAAAGTAAAACACAGCATTTGAAGTTGACATTCAACATTCTCTACAAGTTTAAATAGCAGCACAACTTCAAGGCTGACTACAGGACAGCTAAGTAGTCCCAATTCCTCTAGCCTCCTCAAAGCCATAAGAAGGTGACATGCCACCTACTTCACTACATTTCCCTTTTGTTCCACTCTTCAGTGCAGACAGTAAGTGACAGAATCAGATTGCTCTTCCAGCTGTTGGATAATAAATTCTTGACTTGCACTCTTTATTCTCAACAACTGAAAAATCTGCTTCTGTCTCCAAAACTGCAAGCAGATCTCTCCTTAGCAATTTCCTAACTTTTAAAGCAAAAGTAGAATGCTATTACTGCTGTCTTTCTCTAGATTTAGATTTCAATAGAGACATCATTAATGACTGAATAATACACTCTGTAATATGATGCACAACAGCGAAGTTTTGAGATATGCCTCCCTGCTTTAACAAACCACAGCCGCAATGTAAAGCCACAAGATGAAATACAGCAACTTTGAAGTCCTTAGACATCAATTATACCTGTTTACGATATGGTGTAATCACTCCAATATCAGTCACTGATACTACAGCGCTTTCATTTTTAGCAAGGTGGCAACAGTACTGCATTACTTGAACTGCTTCAGTTGGATTAAACCAGGAAGGACTGTGACCCTCACGTGTTTCACTGCCCTGTATTGGGGGAAAGGAAATGAGATGATGAAGACCAGGTGCAGAAGTGACTATATTTATTAAACTGATTTTCTTATACATCCTAAATGCAAAAAAAGTGATGTTATATAATAATTTCTCTTTTTTTGCTACACACCCTTTCAAGTGAACAAGCATCACCTAATATTTTATACTTTTTTTTTTTTTAAGCCGGAGAATTTATATGACAACAGTACTTTAAGCGTGCAACAAAGGAGTCAAATCTCAACTCAGAATAACGTGTTAGCAAGTTTGTATCTTGCTTTTGTGCAAGGTAGAGGAGTTCAAAACCAAGCCTCTGCAAGAAGTCGGTATTATAACTTTTTACAAACTTCTTGGAAGACTAAAGAAAAATTTTTTTCCCAAAGTACTATTTTTTCCCCTGCCTACTTGAGCCTTAATAATCCTCTAGTTTTAAAGGCTTGTATTCATTCTAATGTAATGAACTCTCATCAAAAGCAATCTAAAGGCAGCTGACTGTAGCTCCATCTTGGTCAATCTGCTACGAATTTAAATTTGTATCAAATTGTCTCCACAATACACTTCAATGGGCAGCTGCTCAAGTTTTTAGCAAACATTTGACTTCAGTAGTTGTTTCTAAAACCAGATGGTCAGGAAGTCCCATTAATTGCAAAAGAAAGTTTATTCTTTTTTCATATCCTTTCTAGAATTCATTCTAAAGAGAACTCATCTACAACATCACCAAACTTCTATCAGGCCTCCTTATTCATACTTTCACTACATGAACATTTTACATACCCTTATTCCATGAAAAATTAATGGAAATCCCTTCTTGGGCAATTTTCCCCAATGCAACAAAGAAGCTACTACTGAGGCGTCTGCACAAACTTCTAGCTCCTTGTGATAAAACAATTTAGATGGCAAGGCAAGCAATGCAGAATGTGACCTGTAGTTCTTTACGAGTTTTGTGATCTGCAAAGACAAAAACCAAAATCCATAACTGAAACTGACAACTATTCATCAAACTTCACAGCACACAGCTCCCAAGCAGATACTACCTTACCATCCTCTAGCGTTTAGCTGTTCTAAAGCTGCTGAAGAACTGTATTAAAGGCAAAAACTGTAGGTGTGATCTTCTATAAGTAAATACTAACTAAAAGCAGTTTTTTGAAGGACCATCTCTTTCCCCTCCAAAGGGAAAAAAAAAAAAAAAGAAAAGAAGAACTGAATGTAAGTGATAGATTAATTAGTCATTCTCCAGTTTCTTAAAACATTTGATCTATAGCCACATGCTCTTTTTTTAAGAAAGTCATATTCTTTTCATGGGGTTTCCATGGACGTAACCTGTTTTTTTGAGGAAATCTTGACAGGCAGAAGGGGAGCATCAGAGCAGCTGATAGAAGCTGGCCTTAGAAACCAGAAATATATTTGTCCTTAAATGAAAGAATGGCCTTAAGGACACATTCCAGAAAGTAATAACCAGCTTGAAAAAATTGTGTCTTGTAAAAAGACTAATGTATCATACTCAAGCCCAATGGTATCCTTAAAGCCCTCAGACTTCCTGCTCTCTCACTATGCCAGTTCTCCTTAAGCGTTGTATATGGAGGACAACAATGAAAGTTTGTGATAACAGATTTTAGGAGGAAGCATGACAGGTTTTCAGTAGGCTGAACTCAACCTAAAGCCTAGGGCCAAACACCCCTGCTTTCCCCCTTAAGTCTGCCATCAGATTTCCTCCCTCTTCTGCTTACATGGTCATCTAGTCATCTTTTGCTCTCAGTTTAATTCTTCAAAGTATATTACCGTAAGAATGGGAAGGCATCTTAGTAAGTTTAACTTTAGCCCTATATTTCAGATTCAGACAATAATTTAAAGCAGCTGAAAGATCTGTGCTTGTTTCTGTACTATGCTACCTCTGCCACTTAACACGTAGACTTTAGGTACTTCACCGTACAAGAGTTTTGGGAAGCTATCCTTCAGAATAAGGGGTGATAAAAAAAAGAAGAACAGTTTCTTTTTTCCCCTTCCTGAAACATGATGTTTGCAAAATTGATCTTCATGTTTAAAGAAGAGGAGGCTTTCTTTGTCTTTTTATGTTAAAAGTAGAAGTTGTACTTGTTCATTTGTGGAAAATTAAGTTATGAAGTTATGGTAAATGCGGACAATAGAGATGGAAGAGAATTTTAAGCCATTATTTAGAATTCTGCTTTATGCACTGTATTTGACTTACTCTGCTGAATAATAGAGAACGCCTTCAAAGAAGGGTTTTAACATGCTGGAGGGCTCAACAGCCTTGCTATTGACAGTATATATTCAAAATAATCAAGCTTTCCTAGAGAACTAATGCTCAAGCCAGACTTATCACTAAGCATCAAGGAGCAAAAAGGTGGTAAGGAAACAGCAAGAACCACAGTTCCTCCTTTTTTTGATTTAGAAGCAAAAAAGTTAATTAAAATTGTAGTTTTACTCACCAACAAAGGATTATATGCTCCACAGGCACTAAAAGCATCCTCATCTCTCAGATATATCTCTCTTGATGTCAGTCTTTCCAGCAAGGATATATTTAATCCAAAAGTCAGTGCAATTTTAGATTTTATTACTGGCCCTAACTGGTTTGGATCTCCAACAAGAACTATCTGTATATGTAATAAAAAAAAAAAAAATATCCATCTTGTATTAAAACAGTTATTTAAAAAAATGTAGTTTTAGCAACAACATACACACTTCAGAATTCGGAATTCAAAGGTCAGTTTATATCAAGTATTCTGCTTTCCTCCAAACATCTACTCTGTTTGTGAAAAAGGGTTAGGCCCAAAACAGAAGTACATTGTTGTCTTAAGCTAAGAAAGCATATTTTTATTTTGACACCTTCCACACACTGAATCCTGTCTACTAATGTAGACTTGTTTTAGATACAAAACAACTCATTTAAGTGTGGGAAATGGATATTTTGCACGAATAAGATTTGTTACAAGTACTCAGAATTCCATACTCATTACCAGGAAACAGCTGCTTGTGTTCTACATCATTCACAAAAATAAAAACAGTAAACTAAAACTTTTTTCCTTTCAGTAAATGATGTTAAGAGAACTACCTGTCCATTAGTTTCTGAAATCAACCCAATAGGAATCAGGCTCTCTGGTTCACTTGCTTGCCCTGCCTCGTCCAGAATCACATGAGTGAAGTGTCCAAGCCTAGAATTAAGTAACATGAACCCAAATCAGGGCTGCTTTCAGATTAGTTCATTCTGCCACCCTGTGGTTGACCTCAGCAATTCTGTTAACTTCCTTGTCAAGTGTGCCAGGCAACTCCACACACACAGAGCAAAGATGGATATTTTCAACATGGAATATAGAAAAGAACAACCCAGTAACTTTGTCATCTTTGATTTCGCTTACATACTCCAATACACACAACCACTGATTATCTTATTTAAAGCGTCGTTTATACCAAGGTTAAGACACTTAGAAAAGCTTTCCTTGTTCTCAGTTTCCTTCAGCTATTTAATTAGAACAATGCACTTGGTGTAGCAAAGACAATCCCCAGGCTTTGTTTCAACCAAACAACTCAAGCCAGTTAGGCTTCAGAGTATCCTTTTACAAAGTCAAAAATCAAAATCAGAGGAATCTTTAGTTAACAGCACTTGACATAGTGGTTGTTTACAGTTAGTAAAGGTGACTTGATAAAAAACAAATACAATATAATTTTTAGTGTGACAATCCTTTTGAGCCAAAATGATTGTCAACAGCAATATAATTTCCAAGGCTTCCACTGGTACTGGAGGAGAAGTTATTGTGTCGAGAATTTTTAACATTATTCAAGATAATTCTTAAATTACCATGGAGAAAGTCTCTGCTGAAACATTACTAAAACCAAGTGGTTTGCTAGGAAGACAATTTCAAAATAGAGGCACATGCAATAAACTGTATTAAAACAGCTCAAGTTACAGTACAGAGGGTATCTAAAAGCTCTGGGTTTTATAGCATCCAGCTATCTCAATGATATTCCAATCTATAGTACTCTACCGTATTTCTGTTTGATAAAACAATCCTGCACTGCTGCATGTGGTAATTATTATCCTGAACCACGATGCTTTCCAAATATCATCACCATCTTTGCAGTACGGTTTCACCATGTCATCAATTTGCTGCAGAAACAAAAAGGTATTTTGTAAAACAACATGCTGTTCTAAAACTAAACATTTTAATTTGAATGAAAAAGCCCACTGAAAACTATTTTAGAAGCTAAGCAAAACACTCAAGATTTAGCCCCATTCATACAGCAAAATGAATTCTTCATTAATTTGCCTAAACAAAGTAGTACATACGCAAGACATCTGTGTTTCCTTTATTGTAAGGATCAAAGTTGAACATATAGATGTTTCATACACATGTATATATTTTTATACACCTGTATATATTTATATATTATACATTATATACAGGTATATAAAAATATATAAAGTGCACACACAATGTGCGTGTACAGTATAAAGATGACAATCCTACTTGCTTAATTCTCTGTGTAAGTAGTCTTAATCTGGAGACAAAGGCTTGACTTCAGTAACAGATTTTAGGATTGCTTTGTAAGTCAAAGCATCTTACCACATTAAAAACCCCACTGACAATGTATGTGCTGCTTGTGGAGTTAAGCACTGCAGGAGAGAGGTTAAGATTCTATGCTCATACAATCAAATAAATGACTATGATCAACTTTTTCCAGTTAATCTTCTGGAAAAGCTGAAGTAATATGTTCATACTTTGGATCCTAAACAAGCCTAACCAGCCTAATAACCACTGACAGTTACATTACTAAATCAGTATTTTAAGATCAAAATATTAAAATGAAAATATTAACTGGCAGCTATCTATAATATTTACCTCTTCTGATCTGAAGCTAGCATTAACTCGGACCATAGCTCCCGGTTTTAACAGATTGCTTTGATGCAGCCGCAAGCAAATCAGATCTGTTGCAGCATTTGATGGTGCACAAACCAAAATTCGACTATCTGGTAGAGTATAATGTATCTACATTAAAGAAGATGGACATTAAAAAACCACATTATTTAAAGAAGTAGCAATAGCTCAAACATGCCCGTTTTATTTTACTGAAAACAGAATCCAGAAGAGTTTTGTACATGTTATATTCATCCATCCTTTTGCAGTTCAAGAACACTAGCCTTGACAGTCATGACTAAGTACTCTTAAACTGAGTGTACCAACAGCAGAATTAATGGTTATCATATTAATGTATACCTGTGCTTCATGAATATATTATGCACTACTGGAATCACAAGTTAGATACTGTTCACTAAAGCTTTAAAGACAAAAGACAAGACGACTTGAAAATAAGCCATTCAAGAATTCTGTTAAATCCACATCAAGATCTTTCCTCTTTCATGGAGCTACAGAAAATGATCTTAAAGAGAGTATTTTGAAAACTCCTTGGGAAAAAATATGATGGTACTTACAGAATTACTGTAATTGTTCCAACACTGAAAAGATTAGAGATGACTGATTTGTCACCCACCATTACCTGTAAAATAGCTTCAATTACTGTTAATGTTTTTCCAGTTCCTGGTGGTCCAAAGAGAACATAAGGTGTTGGACGACATTCGCCACTCAGTATCCTTTTCACCGCCAGTTTCTGTTGCTCATTCAGCATAGGATTGAAAAATTCACCAGCTCTCTGTTTAAGTGTCACAGTTTCACCAACTATAATCAAGATAAGCGTATATTAAAATGCCACATAAATATTTTTAACTTCCATAGATTAAAGCAATTAACCAATTCACATTATGCTTCAAAAATTTTTCATTTTCCTTATGTGGTAACAACTAATGAATTTCTTAAAAATTCTGATTTCATAGAGTAGCATGTAGAAAATAAGCCATTACTGTTTCAGAAGTGTATTGGATCTTTAATGAAACTGAAGGCCAGGAAAGGACTACGATTATGTAACCCAACAATCTATAAAAACTCTATTCAGTAATTTTAGCATCAAGCTCACTTTTTTGTCCTAGAATAGCAAAATTTCAGTAACTTAAAGTAACTGGTACTTCAGGGATAGTACCAGTACTAGATGACCAGCAGTAAGTCACAGCTACTGAAATTTTTTTCTTAATTCTGTCTGAATTAGTCTAGCTTTAACTTTCCACAGCAGAATCTTATTAACCCTTGGACAGAAGTGCATTCTAGGTAATCCATTTCATATTTCTTTATTGCTACAAAGTGATAAAATCGCCCTCTTTGGCAATTAAGTACACTGCTATCTAAAATCACGCTTCCAGAAAAGCATAGGAATGATCTGGGCTTTCTGAAAACTCTTCTGAAGTTTCAGCATCTTCACCAAAGTAGCTATCCCAAGGACAAGACGCAGCATCCCAATAACACATTGGAAACTTTGAACATGACCAAAAACTTTCCAGTAAATGACTGGGAAATGATAATTTATTGAGTACAAAATATATCACATGATGTTTGCTGCCCCCTCCCTGGAAGTGTTCAGGACAGGTTGGATAGGGCTTTGAGCAACCCCCCCTATGGCAGCAGGGCTGGAACTAGATAAGGTCTCTTCCAACCCAAACCATTCTAGGATTCTGTGAACTGGAGATGTTTAAGTAATCCACAGAAAGACTCCAATGAAACTTCCTGCTAGTACTGTTCTAGAATTTGTCTTTAAAAGACAGAGCACGAGGACATCTAAAAGGTATCTTACTCAGCCCTGGTTTACTGAGTGATTGCAATCCTGAACTGTCTAAACTCGAATATAAAGTATTAGAAGTATACCAAGTTGGCTTGTTTGCGCAGCTACTCTCATCATATCCGTTATGTTCATCTCCCTTGATGCCACACATTTTGCCTGTTTGTTCTGCAGTTTTTTGACCTGAAAACAGCAAGTGAAGATAAATGCATTTATAACCTTCAGATGACACGCAACTGTCTTCACTAACACTTTTGAGGTTGCTAGTTTTTAGTTTTTTCCCATTAAATAGCATTATCCTATTAAGTAGAGTATCTACTGTGAAGACAGAAAGATAGAGTAGTAGAAGAAGGTGCTAGGAATTCCCACCTTGAATTTAAGATCTCTAAAAGTCTGGCTTATGTTAACATTAAACATTTATTTCACAAATACTTTGCAGGCCGAGATAAGGATTTTGAAGCCATAGCTCAATAACTTGTTTCCTTCCACAAAAGCTAACATTCACATTCCATACCACTAAGCAAGATGATATCTCTTTCAGATTGCAGCACGGGAGAAAACTGCTTGTAGGGAATGTGGTGTTTGCAAGGTTCTGGACCAGATGCCTCACTCATCTTAATAATAATGATCCTAATCCAGTGAATTGAGGAGTGTTAGAGGTTGATTACTACTTCTTATACAGGACAGAGGTATCATCCAGAGATGTTTCCTGCTTCCCCAGAGCCATGATGTCATGGAAAGATTGCAAGGCTCATCTAGTCCTTCTGACTACTCCCTTTGCTGCTTACCCATGTGGGTACTAGTGACACCTTGAACAGATCAAAGGGAGGATCATATAGCTCTGGGGTGAGCACGAGGGGTCCAGGTGATGTTCTCCACCATCCTTCTAGTCAAACAGAAAGGCCTCAGTAGAAGCAGGCATTTTGCAGAACAATAACCAGCTGTGCTGCTGCTCTCACCAGCATGGCTCTGGGCCTATGTGCAGGAGCTCCTTGACTGCACACTATGAACTGCAAAACCAGAGACATGTCTGAGTTGTTACCACAGGAGGATGGAACAGCAGCAATATCGTCTGGTGGTCTGTAACAAACCCCCGCCAGAAGGAAGACAACATGGATGAGACTTCTGACAAACAACTGCCATCAGTGTCCTGACCACAGGTCGTGCAGCTTCCTGAAGATTTCAATCATTCACACACCTGTTGCAATTCACCCAAGAAATGTCCAGAATTTCTAGATGAGTTGGTGACGGCTTCCTAATGTAAATGCCCAGCATACTGACCAGCAATAACACTCTACTAGACTTGCTGCTCATATACAGGAAAGAGCATGCACCCATGAACCAGCTTTTGTTACAGAGATTGCAAGATTGGAGGAAGGCTAAGAAGGTAAAGCAGGGGAGTCAGAACTCTGGCCCTTCTCGAGCAAACCTCAGTTTCTGTAAGAAATCACCAGGCAAGCTGGGAAGCTACCATGTGGGGAAGAAGACGCGCAGGAGAGCTAAAAGTTGCTTATTGAGATATCATAAACAAACATGCTGTTGCACAAGATCATCAGGAATTTCAGTAGAAGGCTTGCTTAGCTCAGCTTGTAGCTTCTTTATGAATTTATAAAAAGCTTATTACAAGCAGAAACAAGGACAGGCAAAATACAAAAACACCGGACAGTTGGACAAAATCAGAAAGGTCAAAGAGATCAAAGTACAGCTGAAGCTAAAATGCAGCAAGAACAGAGTAACAAGAAGGGATTTAGCAAATGTGGTGGTGGAAGACAGTTGAAGGATCATGGAGGCTCACAGATGGACAAGAGAAGACAATTTATTGATGGATGATATGAGAAAGAACTCAAATGTCCTTTCTGCCTCACATGCAGGCCTCCAGACTCCTGTGCAAAGTAACAGTGTGGGAAGGAAAGGGACAAGTAACAGAACGGGAGGACCATGCTGCAAACTGCGTAGAGGCACTGGATAGAGTAGATGTGATTCACCATGCCAATATGACTGTGGATACTGCTGCCTATTATCTACAATACAAAATAAGGCAAGCCAGGGAATGTCTCTAACAGCAGGAAAAAGCTAATTGCTCCAATTTAAGATGAACAAGAAAGACCTGGGGAACTATAGCTCATCAGCCTTGCTCCAGTCCCTGAGAACATCCTGGAGCACATCCTTCTGGATTCCATGTCCCTCACATGACTGGAAAAAAGGGTGACCAGTCAACGTGGCTAAACCAAGGGGCAGACCTTTCATGACCAACCTGCTTTTCCTCTATGATGAAGAGACTATTATGCGGACAGACTATTACGTAGACAAAAGAAAAGCAGTCATTATAATGCTCCTTTACCTCAGCAAGGCTTCTGAAATGGTTTACTTGCCACATCATTCTTATTTGTAGCCTGAGGACATATTAGCTAGATCAACAGACAGTTAGACAAGTTGTAAATTGACTGAACTATAGTTTGATACTCAGCTGGAAGCTGGTCAAAAGCTAAGAACCCCAGGGTTGCTGTGGGGACCAATATCATTCAGTATCTTCATCAATGACTAGGATGAGACCAAATAACACCTTGAACAAGTTTGCAGACAACACAAACTCAGGAGTCATACCTCAAATGCCTGATGGTGCATCTTCAGTTCAGAGGGACCACGAGAAACTTGGCAACAGAACCAACAGAAAACTCATGAAATTCAGTAAGAAGTCAAAAGCTCCACACCTGGGACTGAATAACTGTGGGAACCAAGGCAGGCTGGGAACACACTGGCTGAGTAGTAATCCTCAGGCCCTTTTCAGGATTTCGGGTTACTGTGGATGCTAGAAATGTATATGAGCCAATAACATGTTCTTGTTATGAACTGGAGAGTCAGAGAGCTTGGTTTTAGTTTGGCCATGAGGAGGTAAAGAGGCAGTCTAATAGCCATGATGCCTTAAATCAGCGTTACAAAAAAAATGAGACAAACTCTTCTTTGTAGTCACATATAACAATGGACCACATTCACAAGCTGCAGGTGGAAGATTCATACTGGGAATTAGAAAAAAATCTTGAGTGGAAAGGTGGCGAAGCACAGGTTATGCAGAGGCTGCGGAATCTCTAGACAAAAATAAAGAAACATCCTCCCCAGCCCCCCAAGCTAACTTGATTTAGTGTTAGTGACAGTGCTGCTTCAAATAGAATGGAGGACTAGGTAACCTTCTGAAGTCCTTTTTAAGACAGATTTCTACATTTTCTCCATATAATTTAACTGGCAGTTAAGAAACCTGAGTAAATCTACTCAGAACAGGATGATTACCTTCTATCATAAAATTGTTTCCTGCCACAGTGACAGGACTGAAGTATCTATACTCAACAGTTAGCTACGAAAACTAGTCTAAGGCACGTCTGACAATTCCAATTATAATCATACAAGTTTTTTTTATAAGTACTTTAGATTTGAGATGGGAGTGTTAGCATCAGTTATCATAAAATCCCCTGTCCCCAGGCAGCAAACAAACTCCTGTCATGAGAAAGCATCAGAATACAACTTTGATTCTTTGATATTCCATTATGCAATTCCTTTCTAACAATAGATGTACAGTAGGTATGTGTTACCAATCTGAAAGGTATTCAGCATTTTAAGGAACATTTCCAGAATAGATACCTTACTTTCCTGCTGGGAACATTGTTCAAAGCCACCATCAACAACACAATACTCAGCAGTATTCTGGGTCTTGATAGCTTGTGGTGATTTTAAGACAAGCCTTTCCGGAAATAACACTTCGAATTTAGAAGAGAAAGAGAAAATAGAGATATTTGAAAGCCACACAAACACTTTGCATGTTTCACTGATTAACATTACTGCTGATACATCGCTTGCTCTGAGTTGCCAGAACCGGTTTATCGAAACTAATGTAAAAATGGTAAAGACCTGTGCGAAGTTCAGATGGATCGTTCTACTCAATCATAAAACAGGAAATCAGTGTTTTTTAATAAATTCCGAGGTAACACAACACACTGCCATTTCACTTGCTATTATTATAACAGTATGATTTCTACAGTTCTTATTGGCTCAAACAGTTCACAAGAGTTTCTTTCCACTCCTCTCCCCTGTGATGGCCAACAGATGAAATCATTCTGAGGGCACCTACTTTAGATTCAGAGAGTTTTTTTGGTGGTGTTTTTTTGTTTTTGTTTTGTCTTTTTTTTTTTTTTAAATTTGCAGAAAACTCCTCTAAGAACAAACTACAATGCATTCTTCTCAGTATGTCCTGATGCGAAAGCAATATACAACGCAAGACTCCCCACAAACTCCTCTAGACAGCTTAAGTCAACTTAAGTGTACCTTTGTCACCCAGGCTGATAGCTTGCTCAACTGCCAACTGGCACCGCCTGCTAGTAATCCTGTTATCAGAATACAGATTTGTAGATGAAAGTAAAAGCTTACATTTCCATAAACTACAACAGCATACACCTACAAGGCATCCAGTATTTTTTACTATGCACCAATGCATATGAAAATAGTTTTATACAAAATTTCTCTTTTTTTAAGAAGCATCTATTGATAAATATGCTGCAGAAGTGTCAATCAACAGCTTTGCTATGAATAACACTGATACATTCTCTAGCTCTTCAGTGAGACAAAGATGGCCTTGTGTTCCAGACTTAATCTTTCAAGGAAATTCTCTGCAAAGATGATTTTACAAAGAATATTAAGCAACTCTGTACAGATAACAACATCCCATGAATAAAACAAAAGTGTAAAAGGATGGGTGGTTAACATCAGCAATTTTTTTTTTTTGCATAGTCTTGCAGCCATATTTGTATATTTTTTTTCCTTAGAAAAGCAAGAAAAAA